AAAAAAAAAAAACCCAAAAAACCCAACTCATGCCAGTCGCACGTGCGTGCGTGCCCAAGATCCCCAAGAGGAGAATGGAGAAGGAACCGTGGTGTGGCCATCCCCCTGGGGGATGATTTCTTCTGTATCTTTGGTGAACACATGTGCCCTCTGGGAAATTAGAAAATAAATAACTTTTCTTTTTTTTTTGAGAGATTTTTGCTATAGGGCACGTGCATTCACTGGACAGAGAGCCAGACAGACCGAAAGCGAGAAAACACCCTCAAGGGGTGATGGCCACACTGCAATCCCTTCTCTCGGGGATCTTAGGCAGTTTTAAGTCATCGGGTCCAGTACTTGAACCACAGTCAACTACATGGGAGACCAATGACATAACCACTATGCCATCTGCTGGTCTCAAGAACTTTTGAGAATAGGCCCTGCCTGGGAGAAGATATCTGCAACATATAAATCTGTAAAAAACCTTCAGATCCAGGACCAGCAGTTAGCATAATGGCTATGTTGCTGGACTCCCATGTAGTCGATCGCGGTTTGAGTCTTGGACCCGGTGGCTTAAAACTCATGCCAGGCACGTGTGCATGCATGCCCAAGATCCCAAGAAGAGAATGGAGGAGTAGGGACTGCGGCATGGCCATCCCCCCTGGGGGGTGATTTCTCGCTTTCTATCTCTCTGTCTCTCTCTGTCTGTCTGGTGAGCGCACGAGCCCTATAGCAAAAACCTCTCCAAAAAACCCCTAAAAAACTAAAAAATACCAAAAACCTTCAGATCCAAAATACAGAGGTAACCCTCAAGTCGATAAATAATTATAAAAAAAAAAAGGGTCATTTTTTTTCTTTAATTTTATTTTTAGTTTGTTATGGGTATGCATGTTCTCCAAAAAGAGACATAGAGAGAGAGATAGAGGGAAATCGATAAATTACACCCATGGGGGGATGGCTATATTGCAATACCTTCTCTTCCATCCTCTTCTTGGGATTTTGGGCACGCATGCATGTGTGCCTGAAGTGTTTTACAAGCCACTGGGTCTGGGACTCGAACCATGCAGTTGGCCACGGGGGATCTAGTTGCCTTAACCTCTGTGCCACCT